GAGAGAATGAATGGAGAAAAGCAATATTTGAAGTGACAATAATTGAGAATTTTCCGGAACTGATAAAAAGACATCAATCAATATTCAAAGATCCCAATGAATCCAAAGCAAGAAAGATAAAAGAAATCTACACTTAGACATATCATAATAACATTGCAGAATACCAAAAACAAAGGAAAATCTTTTAAGAAAAGAGAAACAATGTTAGTTTTAAAGGAGCAATTTTTGGATTGACAGCTGACTTCTCAGCAGCAAAAAAAAGAACCAGAAAATAGTGGAATCAGCTTTCTCATATGAAGAAAGTAAACTGCCAGTATACAATTCTATACACAGTAAGAAAATCAACATAAATTCACAAAGATGGGGAGAAAAGAAGAGAAAACAGCAACAAAGTTTTGAAAGTTAGAAAGCAGATGGACAAGTCGAAACTGACTTCACAGACCTAAGAGAGTAGAGTCCTAAGCCAGCAGAGGGAAAAAGTGAGAACTAACACAATCTACACTGCAAAATCTTCACCAGGTTCAGAAATTGAGAGCATTACATACTTCCGCAATTGGGAGTGAATGAGTGTTGGCTAAACTAAAGAGGATTGGTTGCAAACTGTTTAGGAAACAATTACATCCCTAGATGATTCTCTCCTACCACGAAATCACTGGAGGAGTGCCTTTCTCCAATCCCAGAAGTCTCTCTATTCTCAAGAGAAGATACAATAGAGGGTCTCTGGACTTGGGGAGGCCAAAGCCAGGGAGATTAAGAAAGCTTATGCATAATGAATTTTGAATATGAATATCCTTAGCTTTCCTTCTCCACTCAGCTCCTAGAACAGTTATGCTCTTTACCCTCGAAGGAGGTCAGACTACTCCTTTGTAGTAGTTGACTAGCCAAAGAGATCGGGGGCTCCTCAAAAAAAGGCCCCCCTGACCATTCTACAGGAAAGTTCAGTGTCAACAAGTCCCATCAACATGCTCAGCACTTCCAATTAGCTTTTTTGTCTGTCACTCTTAAACATAAGGATTGTTAAACATCAAAGGAAAACCTCACGGGGCCGGCCCGGTGGCGCACTGGATAGTGCGCCGCTTGGGAAGCGCGGCAGCGCTCCCGTCGGAGGGTTCGGATCCCACATACAGACCGGCTCCCGCTCACTGGCTGAGCGAGGCGCGGGAGCAACGCCGAGGCTTGCGATCCCGTTGCCGGTCCCCGGTCCGGTGCAGGGGCAACACTGAGGGTTGCGATCCATTGCCGGACACGGAAAAAAGACAAAAAGACAAAAAAAAAAAAAAAAAAGAAAAACCCCACAAAAAAAAGGGAGACCAGAACACGCAGGAGAAAAAAAATTTGGAGAAAAAAGAGCAAAATAAAAACTAGTAACAAAAAATTATAATAAATACCCTTAAAATAGTATTGCATCCATGAAACACCATTGGGATGTGTGCCAATTCTATTGGCTCTAAGCTCCATTCCCACCCCTTTGAGGTCTTCTCTGT